CCTCCTCTGCAGTGCTTGAGGCTGGTCTTCACGACGTGCCGTTGACGGCAACGCCACGTCGCTCACCCTCCGGATCTTCGCCTCCGTTCCCTGTCCGCGGCGTGCCTTTTCCTGCGCAAGCTCTTCGGCGCCGCCTGCGCCCCGGGCCGCGCCCGCTCCGGCCGCCTGAGGCTCCGCCTGCCTGTGCCTTGTCCCCCTAATTGAAGCTGTGCGTCGTCCGCCTAGCTTGTAGCGGAAGAGGTTCGCTCTCGCCCCGCCGACAAAAAAAGTGCATCTCGCGACTGAGAACGAGTTCAGGAGCAGGGGGGAGCTGTCCAACATAAGGGGGGGCGGTCAATGCAGAGGAGTTGCACAGCACGATCGCACGCTGAATCGGGGCGTGGGACTCGCCGAGAATTTGCGAGCGATTAAACCGCTTCGCCGAGGGGGCTGTCCAAGGCGTGCGCTCGTCGGCAACAGGGGCCGTGAAGACCCCGAGGTACTTGGCATGGCTGTCGATCTTGAAGAGAACCCAGTCGCCATGCATCTGGCTGGGCGCGCCTCTGATGCTGTTCACCGGGTCGGAAGATGCAATAGTCCAGACAGGAACCAGACCGCTTCTGCGCGGTTGAAGGAGCAGCCCAGTGTACTCAGCGATCACAAGTAGGCGAGGCCAGAAGCCGACGACGTCGACAAGCCACGCCAGGACACGCCCCAAGTCGTCCGCGCACGCCGCGGCGACGCCCCGCTTGATGTTCTCGAAGAAGTGGGGGGTGCCGCGCAGCGCGGGGTCGAGTGCCAGCGCCCACAACGTGCCACTTACCGGGCAAGCTTGGGCCACGCCGCTCTCCGCGATGAAGAGCGGGCGACGGGTGGCTCCGAGCTCGAGGAACATGACGGGCATGAAGTAGAAGGACTGCACCAGGTTGAGGAGGCGACCATGGGCTCCCCAGCGTTGAATCACTTCTCATAGCCAAACGCGAAGCAGTGACGGGAAAGCAGCGGCCACGTCCATGCCCACGAAGCACGGGCGGTTGCTCTCAGCGTCCTGCTGGAAACAGCACAGGCGAGAATAGGTATCGGTTTTGACTATGTTGTCCAGGAATTGACGACCGAGAACATATCCGCGTTGGACGGAGGAGACCTTCTTGAGAAGGGGGTGAGGCTTGCTGTTGGTGGCGGATGCGATGATCTTGGCGTCCGTGTTCTTCATAGCCACGGGGTAGAATTGTCCTGGATCGCGCGCGCTCGCGCTGGCCAGCAGGTTCATCGCCTTTGGGTAGCATTGCCAACGCGGCGTGATTGAAGGCATGCGGCGCGCGGTTGCCGTCGCGCAGGTGCTGCGCGAGCTCGGCCAGGTAAATGAACCCGTTCGGGGTAGCAGTCCAGGCCATGCACGGGAGACCATCGGGACCAGGTGCGGAGTCAGCGGCAAGCTTGGCGGCCTGCACCAGATCGCGCACGTCGAGGGCGCCGGCGAGAAAAAGAGCTTGGATGGGGAAGACGGCGTCGAGGTACGCGTTCATGGCGTTCGCGTCGACAGGCTTCTCCTGGAAGATCGTGGCCCAGTGCGCCTGGGCGGCAGAGTGCGTGCCCAGAGGGTTGTTGGCCGCCGCGGCGTTGTCGCCGCGTGTCGCTCGGAGGCCGGCAAGCACCAATCGCTTCGCGATGGTTTTCCACAGCCCCCCTCGACGACGGTCGGCGTTGGCTCGTTTCCGCCGCCTGTAGCCGCGTGGCTGCCGTTGTGTTTGATAGGCTTGACGGGGGGGTTGGGCAGGCCGAGCACGTCGTTCTTCAGCAGCTGCAGCGCGGGCCGCAGCGGCATCAGAGGCGAAGGTGGGGGCGTCGATCAGCGCGACAACAGCAAGGGTCGACGAGGACGAGCCACCAGCTTCCAGGCGGAGGTGCTTCGCGCCGAGGTGGGACTTGCCGATGAGGAGACGAGCCAGTCGGCTGTCCTGGCACCATGCCGCACGAGCGAGCAATGCTGTGCATCGTCATGAGGTTCACCTCCATGGAAAAGGCGCCGCGATCACGGTGCAGGACGTCAGGGTGCAAGCAGGACAGGGCGTCGCGCGCAAGGCCAGTAGCGGTGGCCAGGTTGGCCTTGAGCGCCTGCCACTTGCCTATCGGGGAGAGCTCGTCATACTGCGCGTTCAAAGGCAGGTTCTTGATCGCGCCGGCGTAGTACTTGGACATGCATATGCAGGGAGGAATACTGCGTTTTTGCGTTGGTCGTTGATTAAGAGGGCGCACGCGAATTTGAAGGACTTCGCGATCAATTGCGGGGGAACCAGAGCGTTCCAGTGGGTCATCGCTGACTACAATCAAGTCTCAACCAGGGGAAAGTTGCGCGGATTGAATGAGGCGAACACTTTGTCAATGCACGATTCGGAAGTGTCGCTGGGCATCGATGCGTCGTGGACGTCGTAGTGGCGTCCGCCATGTGTCTGAGGAGGTGCTTCCAGAATGTAGGCTGGCCGTGATAGTTTTCGAGCGCTCTCGCATCCGCGGAACGAGTTAGGCCGCGCGCAGGATGCTCAGAGATGCTGAAGTCACCCAGCATAGAGAACATAACATCGCTGTCCAGCGCGCGTCAAAGCCACGACGCTGCCGCCATGCGGTCGCCGAAGGAAGTGTCCGCGACGTCCCCGGTGTCCCGCTTGAAGCGCGCATGGATGCCGAGGCGGTCAGCAGCATCAGACCACTGGAACTCGGAAGCTTCTTGCGGGGGGGCGCCGACGGTGAGCCGCGCGATGGGGGCTCCGTCCACCGCGAAGAAGCCTTCGGCGCGGTGCGGTCTGATTTCCAGGTTCGGGCCGCAGGGGAGGGCGTGCTTGGCGAGGCGCTTGGGCTGAACTTCTTGCCGTGCTTGTTTGGGGCCCTTGTCCGCGCGGACGCAAAAAGTCGTGCTAAGTGCCGTGGGCGATGATGCTGAACTTGCGCCAATCTCGGCCGATTCGAAGATGGGCATGTAGGGATTGAGCGCGGGGGCAGGCCTCTTCGCCACCGCCCATGAGTGTGATGGAAGCCCGCTTGTTGGGGGCCGCGTTGTTGAATCGGGCCGTGGTCATGTCGACGCGGGCGCCCTTGAACCGGGGGGCGAGAGCGCGTGCACCTGTTCCTTGCTGATCGGGATGACAGCGCCGCACCAGAACGTGGCGAAGTGTCCAGGACGGTCCCACGCTCCGATGTTGACCACGTCCAAGCTCGGTACCTTGGATTCCGCAATAGCGAGGGCCTGCTTGATGTCATCGGCTGACTGCTTGAGGGAGGAGTTGGCCACGTCTGCTTTGTCCATGCGGATCTTGAATGCGATGATGTAGTTTTCTGTGGCGTCTTGACGAGAGGAGAGACTGTCGACTGTCCTCTGCACCTGGGGCAAGAAGGCCCCTTTAGCGTCATTGCGTTCTTTCTCTGCCGTTGCTTTGAATTTTGTGTTGGCCAGTTGAATATGGGTCTTCAGCAACTGTTGCAACTCGACCTTGGGACAATATGCTTTGTCCTTGCCGAAACGTTTTGCAACGGCCATAGCAGCAGCGTCGTGCCACGGATCGGCAGTGCGACGTGGCGAGCGGCTTCCTGTGGGTCCGTCTGGCATTCCCCAAGTGAGAAGTCACTCAGCAGACACGAAGAAGAGGCCGCGGCACCTCCGAAAAATCCCGCGTGAATATGTAGGGCGGGCAATCGTAAAACACCCTTTCGGTGGCCTCGGAACAGAGGTCTGCCATGGAACCCTGCGGGCGCTGTGCCCGCCAACGTTGAAATCTTGAGCCAAAATGGCCACGGATAACGGGGAAAAAAGAGGAGGAGAAGGAGGAAGAGGAGGACGAGGAGGAAGACCAGAGCAGAGTGGAGCCAACACCACGGCACCAGTGCTGCAGTGTACCTTCCCGGCCCTGCTTCATCTCCCCCCCGTGAGTCCATATAGGGCGCGTCTTCCCGCTGGTGCGACGGCCCGACTATCGGGGGGCGCAAGAATGAACTAGCGATCCATGGATTTGGCGCGCGGTCGCAAAATCTATCAATCGAGGGAGGTGCCCTCCCCAGAATGCGGCCGGTGCCGCCTCGTTCGGCGGCGGACATCCGCGGCTTCCCATGGAAACGGGACCAGTCGCTAATCTACGAACCCCTTGATCCATGCTTGCGATCGCCTGAGACTGCGAGATGTGATGGCCCCGCGGGCGCCTTCCGCAGGCTCAGGGAGTGAGGACTGGAGTGGCGCAAACGGTCTTCATGGAGGAGCAAATAACATCACAAACATCAGCTTTCGGAGCTCCGCGCGGATCGCTTGGCTCGGCGCTGGACCCCCTCGCTGGAGCGCGGAGCGCGCCATGGGGGACCCCCGCGCAGATCCAAGCAGTCCGCGCGGAGCGTCGAAAGCTCAAGTTTCTGCCGTTGTTCCCCGTTCGACTTCAGCGAAGTACCTCGGGGATTGACCGACCCCGGGTCAATCCAAACCTGGGTGAGCCAAGCCTTGCAAGACCCTGCAAGATCCTGCAAGATCCTGCGCCCAAACTGCGGTCAATGCAAACAAGGCTCTGCAGGATCCTGCAAGATCCAACGCTCTGACTGACCCTCATTTGCATTGACCCCCGTCTCTTGAGCCCAAGAGTTCCCATTTGACAAAAACGCCCCAGGGACAGGCCTTCAAAAAGCGGCGGCTGCAGCAGCCTTTCGAGAAGACAACAACAACAACAACAACAACAACAACAACAACAACAACAACAACAACAACGCGCGCCCCAACAAGAGGATTCGCTCGTCGACTTGGCAGCGTGGGGGCTCTGTCTTCAGGCGAGCGCGTTCCACGACACGCAAACTAACTACTCGCAAATGGCCTGGCTCCGCCGCGAGGGATCTACTGTCCTTTGCGTCGGACACAAGCATAAATTTCTCGGGCGACGACGACGACGACGACGGCGACGACGACGACATCGAACGGCCCCCCGGACCTGGCAGGCGGCGAAAACTCACGCGCGGGCGGGGCGCCGCGCGCCCGGGGGCGGCGAGGGGGGTGCCTCGGCCAGCGCCCGCTCCAGCGCCCGCTCCAGCTCGGTGGCGCGGAGGGGCGGCTCGGAGGACGCGGCCTGCTGGCCGAGGACACCGGCCCTCGTCGTCAGCGGCGTCGTCGGATGGCTGTTCCGAAGCCCGATGGTTGGCGCTTTTTGTTGTCCCAGTGGTCGTCCCGAGAGACAAATCGTAATGCCGATAGGCGCGTGACACATGACCGATAGACACAGGCTGGACGATTTGCTTCCTACAAATACATACCTGCACGTACAGATGCACATGTATCTGCATATGTGTGCGTTTATATAATTACATTTACAATGACACCAGTAGGTTGACCGTGTGACCTCTAAACTCTTATATCGAACGTAAGATCCACATTCATGTATGCATGTATGGATAAACAAACTCATCGTCATATCGACAAGTTAAGATATCGGTTGGTTGGCTAGACGAACCTGGCCAAATGCCAATCGCAAGCCGAAAGCTGCACCCATCCGCCCCGAACTTGTTTTCACGAAGGGTGGTCTATGCAGTATGCATACACGTATGTTTTTTATATTTAATATATACATGTATATATATATATATCCTTTTGATGCTTCAAATGGATGCAGATCAACAAGATGGACCCTCTAGAGGCTCCTGCTGGCAACGCTTTTTACAATCTCCCAGTAGCCCTCTAGAGGTCCCTGTAGAACTCTTCCCTAGAAGCGCCATTAGAGGCCCCATCGGGAGTCCCCTTAAAGCCCTCGGGCGCCGACGTTTCTGAAAGCCCCCGCAGATCGCTACATGTCTCTTTTGCTCCCTTGAGAACTTGCGTATCCTGTCGCCCCTTGGATACTTCTACTGCCCGAAAACGCAAGTAACATATCCGTGGTGAAAGAAAACGACGTAGGAGTTGTAGGTCATCACTCATCATCGCTCCTGCTGCCATCGTCCGCGTCGCCCTCCCTGCTGCCCCCCCGCCCATCTCCTTCTGCTGCGCTCACGAATGCCTCCTTCTGTGCCGAGCTGCTTCCCGAGGCTCCCAGCATCGCTCACCACCCTTATTTTCCCTCCCGCCCTCTTCCTCTTCCCGCCCTCCCTCAACCTTCCCCGCGCGCCGCGGACTCCTTCTGCGCCAGACAGACACACCGAATGAATCAAGAATTCAAAGGCGCAGCGTAGAGAGCCGGTGTACGAAAGTCAGAGAGAGAGAGAGAGAGCGTGAAAGAAAGAGCGAGAGAGAGAGAGAGAGAGAGATAGAGAGAAACAGGAAGAGAGAGAGAGAGAGAGAACACGAGAAGAAGAGGAAGAGGAGAAGGAGGAGGAGACGAGGAGGAGGAGAAATGCAATAATGAACAAAGAAGAGAGAGGGAGGAGAATGGAGAGGCTTGAGGGGGTGGAGCCGAGCGTCTCCAAGAAACCTCCATCCACCATCATCGACGAGCCCCCGCACTGCGCAGGAGGTCGGCAGCGAGACGCGCAGCGCGGGCCGACTCCGCCGCCTCGGAGTCCGAGGGCACCAGTCCGCCAAACCCTCTTCGTTTGTTGCGACGGAGCTGATGGAATTGATAAAGGATGGCGGGAAAACCGCAGCCGAGGAAAGAAGCAAGGACGGAGGACCAACAATTGGAGCATCGAAGACGCCAGCGGCGTGCCAGCAGCCAGGGTCGCCCAGGGAAGGAATCCAGGGCAACTCGCGTAGTGAACGAGAGTCTGGGGCATCACACCCCATGATGTATCGGGGGTCAGGGTTGCGAAGACGAGTGTCGCGCACCCACCCGCCCGTCCAGTTGCGAACGGCTGCCATCCTCCACGAGGGGGGGAAGCGCTGAACATCTCCCGAACATCCGCCCAAACAACTCGCTGCAGCTCTTCCAGCCCCAAATTCATCGGGAGCGGCCAAGAGGGGGGTGTCCAAGCGGAGGGGTGCAAATGATGACCGGCGGCACGTGCGCGGCCCAGCGGGGGGGCCGTGGACAAATGAAAGAAGAAGAGGCGCCGTGAAATCTGGGGAGATATCATGGCCCACGCCATGATATCCACCCCCCCTGGTCATCACCCCCCTCTTTTCCGCCCCCGAATTCAAGCAGCGGCCAATCCGCGTCTTGATGACGCCGGGGAGGGCGCCTTCAGAGAGGTATATAGAAGCAGCTGCATCTTGATGCGGGGGTTCGGGGAGCCGGTCGAAAGTGCCGCCGTTCTGTCGCCTCTAGGGAACTCCAGCCCGCAGCGAGCCGCAGTGCCCTCCCGAGGGCCCACGAAGGGGGGACGCCTGCGCAGCCAGGCGGAGCGACCACGTGAACGCAGGCTCATTTCAGGTCGTCGGCTACGGGCTTCCTCTCCCACTACGCTACGCTTGACGAAATGAGTAGCCGCCATGCGCTCTTCGGCCTCCGCAGGGAGGCGGGCGCACATCTGCGGCCAAGCGCCTCCGCGCCGCCAGAGCTGTCGCTCGGCTCGCCGAGAACCTGCTGGGCCGCCCAGGCAGAGAGCAGGAGCCACGAGCCTGGGGGCCCTCAGGAGGCGGGCGGGGACGTGGGCGTGAGGCTCGTCGGCGACCTCTCCTGTCGCGGGAGCGACAGGAGGTGGCACTTGGGCACTCAGGAGGCGGGCGGGGACGTGGACGTGAGGCTCGTCAGCACCTTCTCCTGTCGCGGGAGCGACAGGAGGTGGCTCTTGTGCGAGGGCGTGCTCACCCCTCGAGTCGGAGGCGGAACGCTCGAAGCGGCGGCCGAGCGTGCCATCGCGGCCGCCCGACGGCGCCGCTCCCTGAAAAGGCCGTGCTCGCCAGGCCGACCTCCATAACCCCAGAATCCAATTCAAAGCAGAGGTACAGTCGACCCGTATCACAAGGGTGCACGATAAGGGTGCAAGGGCCTTGGAAGGCAGTTTCGAAGCTTTTCGAGCGGGGAGCGGCCAGCGAAAATGGCCAAGGATGGACCGAGGAGGCAAAGATGCAAAGGTATACCCTTAGGACAATCGCCCATTTTTGCCATGCGGGTTGACTGTATGTGGGGTGGGGGAACAACGCGGAAGTCCGCCCATTCCACGCAAGCTTCATGGAGCAGCCGGTAGGCCATTGCCGACGCGCCAGGACAACAGCAGTCCAAGAGAGGCGCGCGGAAAAAAATGATGGGCTTGAGGTGGAGATTCGCGATGCCACGAACGACCCGGAACACCCTCACGAGCACCGCGCGTCTGGAGGATCCCGAGACACAATCCCCAAAGCGTCAGCACACCACTGGCCGATCCCCCGGTCGCGCTGCTCAAGCCGAGTTTACAGGTCCCGAGCGGGGAGGGGGGATAGCACGCAACATACGAGCTGTCGCTAAGAGGATGCCCCTCCACAGTACCACTCCAGGCCTGATAGAGCGGCGAACAGACGGTAGCGGCGCTTAACATCACCGCTTGCGAGTAGATACCGGCTACAGAATCAATAGGCCAAGGGGGATTCGCCTAGATCCCAAGAAACCCTCGGATCCACGAGATAGCGACGGAGGAAAAGGACTTCGTAAAAAGAGCGCGAGAGTCATTGGGGTCGAGCTGTCCTGGTGGCATCCTTCGGGGTCAGCCGGTCGGGCGCATGCTGGCCATGCGGGCGCAGCCATCGGTCTCTACAAGGTTATTTTGAATAGTCATTTTTCTAACGAAGCTCCGCTGCGAACCAGCGACAGCGATGGCTACGGCTGGAGACAACTTGCGGCGAATGGTCGAAGAAATTAGCCTTCGAACCTGTCGACTTCAGCGCCAACGGCCGCGTGCACGCCTGAGCGAACCTCAGGCCCGCGCCTGGCTGAGCGTCATCCTCCGGGTCCGTGCCCTGCGGGAGGAAGGCGCTCATCGCGCGGTTAAACTTCGGCCGCGTCGGGAACCCCGAATGGGGCCACTCGCGCGCCTGGGGCAGCACCTCGGGGCTGCGGCGCACGGCAGTCCACGCGCGCGCGGGGAGACCGTCGGGCCCGCGGCGGCCGCAGGGCGCGCCCGCTGCAGCGCCTCCTCTTGATGCATGAGAGGCTCGGAGGTGGGAGCTGCGGCCAGAGTCCACGCTTGGCGGGGCGCGCCACCGGATGCATCTGGCTTGCAGCGCGGCCCGCCGGGCTTCGGCAGCTGGCCTGCAACGGCGGCGGGGAGACGACGGGCCTCCAGCGCCGCTCGAGGGCGGCCCGCTGCGCCGCCGCCGACGCCGCAGCGCCGTGGTCCGTTACCACGGCGGCCACGGCACTCCTCGCGCGGGTCGGCTCCAAGAGCTGCGCCCGCCTCCTGGGCACCTTGGTTTGGCGCTGCGGTCGATGCGATCAGTGCTCCTCTGACTCGGCGTCGGCGGCCTACGCGGGGTGCTCGCAGACCCCAAGGGCAGAAACCGAACGCCCGTCCCGGGCCAGCGAAACACGCCTAGGCGCATAACACTGCCAGAAATCCCCATTTGCATACTGGCACACGTGCACAAGAGGAAGCATGCACAAGCTGAATCCGTCCTCCAGCCTCCTATCATTGGCTAGCCCCCAATAGCGCCGGAAACGCCGTGCATCAGGGGAGACACCAGCAATCGGAAGCAACGGGCAAGACCCGAGCCTTGGACCAGCGACCGCAATCCCGCCGGGTAAGGTCGCCCCCTGGCCCTTTCCCCCGGCCAACAGGCGGGGCGGGAGAAGGCCCCACCAGGGTCGGGGTCGGTCCAGTGATGGGCCTACCCATCAAGCCAACACGGGGCGGTAACCAGCGCCAGAACCTCATCCTAATACGGCAAACGGTGTGCCCGCGGCTAGAAGCATTCCAACCAAGGTGGCTGGAAGTTGAGAGCCGCGGGCGCCCGCCTCCGCGTCATCATCGGCGGTGCACCTCATGCAGGAAGTGCCACAGGGCGCCCAGGCTGCAGCGCTTGGCCGCGGCAGCAAGGACTTTACGCATACCTTGGCCGAGCGGCGGCCTACGTGGGAGAAGGAGGAGATGTAGATGTAGGAAGCGAGATGGCTGAGGAAGGGACCAGGATCAGAGAGGCAAGAAGATGGAGGCCGGAGGAGGAGAATGAGGCCAGAGGGTGATGATGAGGATGAGGAGGACGGAGGAGGAGGAGGAGGAGGAGGAGGAGGAGGAGGAAGAGGAGGAGGAGGAGGAGGATGAGGAGAACGGAGGAGGGGGAGGGCAGCACCCGTAGGGACTTCATGCTACCAGGAAGCATGAACCAGGAGGAGGAGGAGGCAGGAAAGGGAAGAAAGGAGACAACGGAAAAAGGGAGGAGGAGGAGGACCAGTGTAAACCCAAGAGCCAGCAACAATGTTGGAATACACCCTCCCTCCAAGCTCCCTCTTCACAGGTCCTTAGAAAGGTTCATTTTCATTTGGGGATCTGCTTCGTTGGAAGACATCCGTTTGAAGACCAAAAGCATGCCAAAATATTGCTCCCGGGATTCCAACGCCACGGATCAACCTGACTGTTGCGTCTTGACAACCATGGATCGTGCCGGAAAACCGTTCTCGGAATTTCAACACCGCGAACCAGTGTAATCCGTGCACCAGCAAAATCCATAATCTTTCCAACACACCTTTTCTGGTACGCTGATCTTGGGAATCCGCAATCCTTTTGTACAATGTATGAACGAATGTGCGCGGCGCTAAAGCGAGAACCACATTTTGAAAAGAAACTGCCCTCAATCCGTGAAGCTCTTGCAAATGTTGAAAACGAATGTGCGCGGTGCTAAGGCGAGAACCACATTTTGAAAACGGGTGGTCCTGCATCCGTGAAGCCCTGCAATTCTTGAGAACGAATGTGCGCGGCGCTGAGGCGAGAGCCACATTTTGAAAACGGCCCGCCCTCCATCTGTGAAGCTGTTTCCAATGTTCAGGCTTCAGGGTCATAAAGGGTGAAGAAGTCTCAGGCGAAACGCCCGGCCCGCCCTAAAAACTGGCCTCGGGGTGCAACAGGGAGAAGTTATTCATAAGCAAAATAATGGAGGAGGAGAAGGAGGAGGAGGGTAAGGATGATGATAATGATGATGATGATGATGAGGAGGAGGAGGAAGAGGAGAAGGGGAGGAGGAGCAGGATAGGGAAGAGAATCAGAGCATCCCGCTGTCGCTCGGACGTCCATTCCCCGTGCATGTTTCACTTTCGTGCGTGTGTTTCCGCGATGATCCAAGGCGCTCCTCGATGGTTTTCACAGAGAAAAAACTGCACACGCACGAGCGGCTGTCAAGGGGAAGACGCCTGGCGTGGAACGCAGCCGAACGCGAGCGCCACTGGACGGGGCGGCGCGGCGAGCATCGGGGGCTCGGGGGCGAAGCCTCGCCGCTCGCCTCGCCGCCGGCGAGGTTGCCTCGCTCGTGGGGGGGGGGTCGGGCCAGTTGCGGGTGGGGAGGCATCGCGGGGAGAGCCGGGTTGCCAGACTTCCTCCTCCCTCCAGCCTCCATCCCTCCCTCCTTCCCTCCTCCCTCGTCCACCCGCCCTCCCTCCGCCTCCTCCTCCTCCTCCTCCTCCTCCTTCGTCCGTCCTTCTCCCTCTTTCTCGCCTCTCCTCCTCCTTCGTTTTCCCTCCTCCCTCTTCCTCCTCAGTCCTCACTCCCTCCTCCTCCTCCTCCTCCTCCACTTCCTCCTCCTTTCTCCTCCTCCTCCTCCTCCATTCCTCTTCCTCCTCCTCCTCTTCCTCCCTCCTCCTCCTCCTCCTCTTCCTCCTCCTCCTCCTCCTCTTCCTCCTCCTCCTCCTCTTCCGCCTCCTTCTCCCTCCTCCCTCTTCCTCCTCCATTCCGCACCCCGAGGCGGGTTGAAAGGGTGGGCCAGGCATTTCGCCTGAGACTTCCTTACCATTTATGACCCTGAAGCTAAAACATAGCAGCCGTTTCACATTTTGAGGGCGGCTCGTTTTCAACATGTGGCTCTCTCCTAGGCGCCGCGCACATTCGTTGTCAACATTCGCAAGATTTTTACGGATTGACTTCGGGTCGTTTTCAACACGTGGCTCTCGCCTCAGCGCCGCGTACATTCTTTTTAAACGTGTGCAAGCGCTTCACGGATCGAGGGCGGCTCCTTTTCAAAATGTGGCTCTCGCCTAAGCGCCGCGCGCATTGCTGTCAATCAAATGCAAGAATTTCAAGGATTCCCATGAGCAACGTACCAGAGATGGTGCGTTGGAAAGACTCAGGATTATGAGGGCGCAACAGTTACGTCGATTCGCGGTGTTGGATTCCCAGGAACGGCGTTCTGGCGCAACTCAGGATCGTCAAGACGCAACAGCCAGGTTGACCCGTGGCGTTGGAGTTCCGAGAATCATGTTTGGGAACGCTTTATGCTCTTCAAACGGTTGTCTTCCAACGAGGCAGCTCCCTCAGTGGAAATGAGCCGTTGTAGGGTGTAGGGACCTGTGAAGAGGGAGCTTGGAGGGAGGGTTTATTCCAAGATCGTTGATGACTCTTGGGTTTACACTGGTCCTCCTTTTCCTCCTATTTCCTCCTCCTCCTCCTCCTCCTGGTTCCTGGTTCCTGATGGCATGAGGTCCCTGCGGGTGCTGCCCCCCTCCTCCTCGTCCTCCTCCTCCTCCTCCTCCGTCCTTCCCTCCTTCTCTCCCGCACTTCTCGAGCGGCCGCCATGTCGGTCGGGCCGCTCGCCCTGCAGGAGATCCCCCGCTGGGGGCGCTCCGAGGCTGGTCCTCGCGGCTGCGCTCCCTGTGGCCGGCGCGGGGAAGCAACTGCTCAGGGAGAGGTCCCCCAGCTGATGGGCCAGTCTTTTACCACTACTATCATAGGTTAGTTAGGACGGGGGAGAAGGGAGGATTGGGAGGTTGTCCTCCTCCTCCTCCTCCTCCTCCTCCCTTTCCTACCTATGGTAGCGGTTTAACAGGTCAGTCCAGCGAAGGCTTGGGAGTCAACGTTGGGAGGGAAGCAGCTCAGGGGGGGAACATCGAGCTGGACTCGTCGATATACGAAAAACGCCGGGGAGGACCGCTGCTCGACGGGCCCTCCTTCGACCAAGGTGGGCACCACAGGTCAGTCCGACGAAGGTTTGGGAGTCAACGTTGGGAGGGAAGCAGCTCAGGGGGGGAAACATCGAGCTGGACTCGTCGATAGGTTCGGCGAGTGGCCCCCCCACAGCGAGTCCGCATGCTCTTGGGCTGGGTGGGCTACGGGGCCCCTATCGGCGATCAGTGAGCGATTGGGGGTGGATGCGTCCCCCCCCGAGCCTCCCCCCACCCGAAAATGGCCCCTGACGGTGGGCCCGCGCCAGTGGCCGCTCGAGCGAAGGCTCATTCTCAAACTGCATAATCCTAACCTGTCGGAGCTCCGCGCGGATCTCTTGGATCTGCGCTGGGGCCCCCTGGCGGCGCCTCCGACGCCGCCCCTGGCGCACTCCGCGCGCCAGGGACGGGGGCTCAGCGCCGACCCAGAACTCTGCAGGGAGCCCGAACAGTTCCTGTTTATGCACCTTGTTTTTCTTCTAGACCTGGGCGTCCCACTACTCGCACAACAGCTACTCGCAAATAGCCTGGATCCGTAGAGGGGGAACTTACGATCCATTACAACGAGGCAAACATGTTTTTTTTTCGGACGTTTGCGAGAAGGCACTTTGCGAGTAGTGGAACGCGCTCGCTGATCTGCGATCTCACGTGCAGCCGATTCTCGTGCAGCGGCGAGCGCCTGCGAGGCTGCCAGCGGCGGCCAGCATGCGGCGCATGCGGCCCTGCCCTGCGGTCAGCCCGCTGCGCCGCAGCAGCTCGCGGATGACGATGGCCTTGCAGGGGGGAGACCAGGGCGGTCGCCCTCCTCCTCCTCCTCCTCCTCCTCCTCCTCCTCGTCGTCGTTCTTTCGTCGTCGTCGTTCTTTCGTCGTCGTCGTCGACCGCCGCAGCGGCCCGCGGATGACGATGGCTTTGCAAGGGAGGTAAGGGCGGTCGGCCTCCTCCTCCTCCTCCTCCTTCTCCTCCTCCTCCTCCTCCTCCTCCTCCTCCTCTCCCTCCTCCTCCTCCTCCTCCCGGAGCCTGTTTGGCTCAAGCGAATCGCGCTCACGGCGGGCCATCGGCCGCGGGCGCGGGCTCAAGCGAGTCAGGCTCAGTGGCCTTGTTGCGCGCAGGCCGGGGCACTCCAGATGCGGCGCTGCTCGGGCGGCCGCCAGCTCGCGGACGCTCGTCCGGCGCCTTCGGCGGCAGCAGCGCAGCGCCCTCGGCGAAACGCGCGCGTCCGCGCTCGCCTGGAGGGTTGAAGTCTTTCGCATCTCCCGCAGCGCTCACTGGGAGCTGAGCGAGCGACTCGGCACCCATTGATCGTTCATCATGGTCGCCGGGGACATGGCGCATCTCGTCGGCGTGGAAGCCGAGGCTGCGGAGGTGCGTGAGATCGGCGCGGAGGCCACTTGGTTCCGCCACTCGGCACAACCCGATGGCCCAGGGCAGCCACCCGCGGTGCCGTCTGGGCACGCCGCTGGCATCCTCGAGGCCGTCTTAGAATGCAGGAGCACGCCGCTGCGCGCTGCCGTTGGGGAGTTCCCCGGGCTTCTCGATGATGGGCACCTGCACCGCCAGGAGGATGTCTTCTTGTTCGAGCTAGGCTTGCTGGAATAGCCGCAGTCCGCGGGCATCGATGAGGTTCAGCGCGCCATGTCAGCGGAGCGCGAGATCCCCCCTGTCTCGACATGCTGGAGGGCGGCGCGGGCGAGCGGGCGCGGGATCACAGAGCTGAGCTCTCAGATGGTCGAGTCCGAGGCGACGTCCGCTTTCGGACTCGGACGCAGGGGGCCGCGCACTCGGATGCAACTTCCTGAGTGTCAGAGTTGCGGGGGCTTCTTCGAGCGCGGGCGCGCCCTCTGCGGCGCTGCGCATTGTCGCCGCGATGCTGTTCCTGACCGTCGCCAGGGGACTGCGGCTGCTGAAGGCCGCGCCGATCGGAAGCGCCTTCCTGGCTACCGGAAAAATGAAGAAAGTCTCCGGGCGAGGGCGCGCCCTCAGCGGCGCTGCCAACTATCGCCGCAATGCTGTCCCCGGGAGGGGGGCGCGTTCCCTTTGCAGCCGAAGGCCGCACTTTTGGACACAACTGGCGGGGGCACTTTTTGGTCAGCGGCCGCGGGCGAGCGCGCCGGCGGCGAGTCCAGTCAGAGCGGGGCGCGCAAAGACGAATTAACCTAAAACGGTGAACTGGTGGAAGTACTTTTTTGGCCAGCGGGCGGACGCGTAAAGCAATCGCCAAGAGGGGGGCCCGGGGCACGGGCCAGCCTAATCAACTACCGAACCACGCGCAAGACGGCCGGGCCAGCACTCAGACGCGGCTGCCGGGGGGCTGCTGCTGGAGGGAGCTGGCAGAGTAGTCTGCAGACGCCCAGGGTAGCTGGTGCAACGTGCAAGCCGGAGGCAGAGAGACGCCAAAATTGGAATTCAGTCCTGCGCGCCAGGAACGCGTGATCGGCACTGTACCTGAACGCGCGTCAAACTAGCGGAGCGCTTCCACTGCCGGGCAATCCAGGAAGCGGTGCGCCACCAGGAACAGAGAGTTGGAAGCCACGCATTCGAGCTCAGGTACCATGGACAAGAGCCATGAACAGTCTGACCATGTCGCCACATGGCGCCAAGGGCCAGGGCCGCAGCTGCGGCGCGGTACAAGCCAAATAGGCGGGGACAGGGCGCCAGTCGGAAAGCACGGTGTCTGCTGGAAGGCTGCGCCACTCCGCGACGCATCACGTAAACCCCGAAGTCGACGCCAGATCCGGGCGGCAGTGGCGAGTAAAGACCAGGCCCCAGGGGCCGACTGCACCAGGGAGCCTGGCCAGAGGTGCGCGTCGTGGACGCCGCGCGGAGGGGGCCGCGCAATTGCGCGGGAGGGCGAACCGGGCAGGCGGGCACGGACATCACCAGGCCGGCGAGAGAGAGGCGCCCACCAGGGGAGTCCAGCGCCAGGGGGCGGCAAGCCACACAGCGATGCGAGGCTGCAGGATCACGTGGCAACTGGCCGCCCTGACCTTATGAGACCCTCGCGTGGCGTGGGCGGGTGGGCACTGACATCGCCTGCCGGCCAGGGTGAGAGGAGCCCGCAAGAAAAGCCCGATGCCAGGGGGCGGCCGGTGGCCATACAAGCTGAAGACGCAAGTCTGCGAGAACGCACGGCCAGCGGCTGCCCTAATTATCCTTGTGCGCGCGGGGACGAATGGCCGATGGCCATCCCGTCCGCAGGAACAGAAAGAGAGGAGAGAGTCAGAGACCCAGGGAGCGGCTGACGGCCGCACAGGCATGTGAACTCCACAGCCCAGTGGATAGGCATGGGAACGCTCCTTGCCCGCAGCGGATAAACTTCCATCGGCTTGGTATCCCCTGTGCGGCATCCGTGTGCCATCTCCCTACTACGCGGCTGATCGCTGTCTGATCTAACGGGCCCTGCTTTTCTTGAAGAAGCCGGCTGGCTGCCAGGGGTGCCCGCGAGCGTAAACTCTGTCCCACTTGTTGGTCTGGGGGCGCACGATGCTCCCAGCCAATGGCCGCATCCGGGAGACCTGGGCGCCTCTGGGCCCAACCTTGTCCAGGCCTTGGTCTTTAGCCTGCTCTGCCGCGCCGGGGCGCTGCCCCGCTCCCGGCTCGTGGCCATCCGACTGCGGAGACTGCCGGGGCCCCCATCCGGCGCCAATTTGGTGGGGGTCAGCACTCGGCCGAGTGCTGATCCCTACCAAAGTGCCTTCTCTCTTCTGTGTCATGCAACGTATGATGGGCTGGTGGGGATACGCGGAGCGTAAGGCATTTCCTGACAGTAGTGCGCTGCCCGGATCAGAGTTGTCCTGCATGGCAGCACCCTCGCTCATTGAGCTGCCCACCCCCGTTGGTCCCGGCGTAGCTTCGTTCCTGTGAGCGTCCTCCGCCCCCATTCTCGACGGCCTGTTCAACTCGAGGCTGCCGGCTACCTGCTCACCTGAGAGGGCGGGAGTGCCGGGGGCGCGGCTGACGGCCGCCTGCTCGCCAAGTCGGGCCCCGTCGCCAGGGTTGCCGTCCAGCGACGCTCCTTGCTCGCAGCTGATGGCCGTCTGCTCTCTTGGTGCCCCGGGCGCCCCCTCGCGCCCATCCTCTGGTCCAGCGACCCCGGTGGGGCCACTGGCGTCAGCCTGGGCCTCGGCGCTGGACTGGTGCTCCGCCTCGCGGCTGACGGCCGTCTGCTCGCTTGGAAGTGGGAGGCTGCCGGGGGCGCGGCTGGCGGCCGCCCGATTCTGTTCGCCCCCGAATCCGCCTACCCCCGCGGGGGCAACCGCAGCAGAAGAAAGAGGATCCACGGGGCTGCGAGAGTTTTCCCCATGGCGACAGCTTGACGACGCGCCTTCTGGAAGGGCGGCGTGACCCGAGCTCTCTCGGGGAGCAGCCCCTGTCCCAGCTGGTGGCTGCCTGCGTCCTTCTGGGGGGGTGGTCGTCAGGGTGGCTGTCTGCCTTTACAGATCCGCGCGAGAAGGGGGCGCCAGGGATGCGGCTGACGGCCGCCTGTGCTTCTCTATCAATGTGATTGCCAGGGTGGCCATAGGCCTCATCAACTCCGCGCGCGGAAGGAAAGCCAGGGCGACGGCTGACGGCCGTCTGAGCTATTGTAGGCCTCGGTCCACCAGGGGCGCGGCTGACGGCCGCCTGGGGTCTTGAAGATCACTCGCCTGCAGGGTTGCGGCTCACAGCCGACAACTCTGAGGAGAAGGGCATCGTTTCTGGATGGGCTGGTGGGGTAACACTTGGCCACCAGGCACGCGAGGCGGGTCGAAAGCCGTCGCGTGGGAAAGCCTGGGATACGGCTGATGGCCGTCGGCGCGTGTTCACTTCCCATTACCTGCTGCCGAGGGCTGCCGCGGCCGCCCCCTCGTCCACCCAACGCGCTGCCGTAGCCATCACCTTGCGCTCCATCTCCTCCCGCCGAGCCGCAGTCGTGGCCACCGCACTCCCCGGCGCTGCCCTCGAGGCAGCTGCCACTGCGAACGCGTGCTCTTCTCGCGCGCGCTGTTCAGGGTGCCGAACATGATGGTGTTGGGCTCCATCGTCATGTCTGCCGTCTCGCTCAGCAGCACCACAGTCTGCTGCCGCTGCCAACGCCTGCTCTTCTCGCACGTGCTGCACAGGGCGTCGTAGGTGGTGATGCTGGGCTCCAGCTTCACGTCTGCCATCTCGCTCAGCAGCGCCATGCCTGCTGCCTCTGGCAACGCCTGCTCCTCTCGCACTCGCTGTTGCACGACGTAGGCGATGGTACTGAGCTCCAGCCGCGCGCCCAACATCACGCTCAGCGACGCCACCAACTGCTACCGCTGGCAACGCCTGCTCTCCTCGCAAGCCTGGTCAGGATGCTGTGAGGGAGGGTGCTGGGCTCCCGCTTCGCGATCCTCATCTGGCTCAGCAAGGCCGCGACATGCTGCCCCAGCTAACGTCTGTTCATCTCGCATCGCTGTGCACAGTGCCGTAGGTGCTGATGCTGGGCTCCAGCTTCACCATTGTCATGTCGTTCAGCAGCACCGCGGGTTGCCGTCAAAACCGACGCCTGCTTTTCTCGCAAGCGTTGTGCACAGTGACGGAGGTCATGTTGGCGGGTTCCAGCTTCGCGACTACAATCCCGCTCAGCAGCGCCACTGACCACTGCCACTGCCGCAGCCTGCTCCTCTCGCACGCGCACGAGAACGCCGTGGGCGAGGATGTTGGGCTCCAGCTGCATGGCCACCCTCTCGCCCGGCGACGCCACCGACTGCCGCTGACAACGCCTGCCTTCCTCGCGCGACCTGCGCAGGATGCCGTAGGTGATGGTGCTGGTCTCCAGCTTCGCGAACACCATCTGGCTCAGCAGCGCCACGACCTGCTGCCGCTGCCAACGACTGCTCTTCTCGCGCTCGCTGTGCAGGGCGCCGTAGGTGATGTTGCTGGGCCCCAGTTTCGACCCAGATCTCGCTCAGCAGCGCCGCAACCTGCGGCCACTGCCAACGCCTGCTCTTCCCGCGCGCGCTGATCACAGTGCACGTGGGGGACGCTGCTGAACCCCAACTTCGCGTCCAGGAACTCGCTCCGCAGCGCCGCGTCGCGCTGCCAACGCCAGCGCCTGCTCTTCTCGCACGTGGTCTTCACAGGGGCGCAGGTAATGATCATGTCGGGCTCCAGCTTCGCGATGCCGTCTCGTTCGGCAGTGCCGCGACGCGCCGCCGCTTCTTGCGCCTGCTCTTCCCGCACGCGCTGTTCACAGTGCCGTAGGTGATGATGTTGGCGGGCTCCAGCTTCGCGACCACCAACTCGCTCGGCAGCGCCACTGCCCACTGTCACTGCCAACGCCTGCTCCTCTCGCGCGCCCGATGAGGGCGCCGTAGGTGAGGATGTTGGGCTCCAGCAGCATGACCGCCAATTCGTTCGGCGACGCAACCAACTGCTGCCGCTGGCAACGCCTGATCGTCTCGCACTACCTGTTCAGGGTGCCGTAGGTGATGGCGTTGGTGATGGTGCTGGCAACGCCTGCTTTTCTCGCGCGCGCTGCTCACACTGCCGTAGGTGGTGATGACGGGCTCCGGCTTCCCGACCACGATCTCGCCCCGCATCGCTACTGCTGGCTGCCACTGCCAGCGCCTGCTTTTGTCGCGCGCCATGCTCGCAGCGCCGCAGGTGAATGTGCCGGGCGCGGCTTCGGGGGCAGGACATCGCCCAGCAGCGCCTCGAACCGCTGCGATTTCCAGAGCCTGCTCTTCTCGCGCTCGCTGCTCGGGGCGCAGTGGGTGAAGATGTTGGTCTCCAGCTACGCGACCCGGATCTTGCTCAGCAGAGCCACGGCCTGCTGTCACTGTTAACACCTGCACTTCTCGCACGTGCAGGTAAGGTGAAGCTCCCGGGCTCCAGCGTCGCGTCCCGGGCCTCGCTCCGCAGCGCCACGACGCGCTGCCACTGCCAAAACCTGCTCTTCTCACGCGCGCTGTTCACAGGGACGTGGGCGATGGTGATGTCGGCCTCCAGCAGAGCGGCTGCCGACTCATTCAACAATGTCGCACTGATGAAGGTGGTCGGCTCCAGCCGCATTCTCCGCCTCTCGCGGGCCAGCGCCAGGGCAGTGCGCTTGCCCTTCCCTTTCGCGTGCGCTGCCCGAGGTGCTGCGGCAGAGGAGCACCGGCAACGGGCTCGGCCGCGCCCAGCCGCGGCTACGAGGGAAAGGCCAGGAGGGGAAAGAAGAGAGCGGGAGAGAGCGATAAGGAAGCCAGGTACGGCTGATGCCGTACTGTCGGGGATGTCCATGCCAGGGGCGGCTGATGGCCGTTTTGTCAGGAACGAAGGGCCAGGGACGGCTGATGGCCGCTTTGTCGTAGATGTCACCGCACGGATCGCTTGGCTCCGGGGGGGCCTCCGTCGACTCTGGTTGCCCCAGATGGGTGCCAAGGTCACGGCTGCTGGCCGTCTGAACGCACTGCGTCGTTCCAACCGCTCCGTTCCCTTCTGGCCTGACGGGCCCTGCGTCTTCTTGCGAGGTCTGCTGGCCGCCAGGGGTGCCCGGAAGGGCGTCAGGGAGCAAGGTGCCTCTTTCTGACTGTCAGAATTGTGAGGATCACGGCTGGCGGCCGTCTGGTCGCTTTGTATCATGATCACGGCTGATGGCCGTCAGCACGCTTTGCGACGTCTGATGGCCGTCGATTCTGGTTGCCCCAGATGGATGCCAGGGTCGCGGCTGATGGCCGTCTGACCGCACTGCATCGTTGCAACCGTTCCGCTCCCTTCTGGCCTGACTAGCCCCGCGTCTTCTTGCGAGGTCTGCTGGCCGCCAGTGGTGCCCGGACGGGCGTCAGGAAGCAAGGGTACCTCCTTCTGACAGTCAGAGTTGTGAGGATCACAGCTTAGTCAAACGGCCTCTCTGTTGGCTGGCCGCACTATCCATGCCGGCCGCTCTGCAGCTAGCCCCCGCAGGGCGATCCGCGCAGCGGTGGCGCTCTTGCACGTCGCCAATTCAGCTCTGCCATGGCGGTCGCGCCACCGATGCAACAGAGAAAACGCAGAGATATCGCCGTACTGCAGGCACACGTGTTCCGCCGGGCCGGCGTCGTCGTCGGGGAAGAGCATGTGCAGGTCACCGTGCTCCAGCGGCTCCGGCGCCGACACCCAAGCGTCATGGACAGACGCGTCGCTGATATCATAGTACTCGGTTAGGACAGCTTCGCCCACTTTGAAACGACCGCCAACGGCAGACATCCAGGATCCACCCCCGGTCGTCGCCAAGAGGAACGCGTCGATCCGCTCCAAGGTTGCAACATTGCTACCGGCAATCGTCTGCCGCGAGGCCGGCCGCTCACGGCGAGGGACGCGGGCAGACGAAGCGCGCGACGCCGCCCGGCCCCCATGATCGTCAGACTCATCCCGGCGTCCGCCGACAGAGTCGCCCGTGGCTTCGCATGGCGCGGTGGCTGCTGGGGCCGGGGCGCCCGGCGAGGCCGTGCGGGCCGGAGCGGGCGGCGCGGTTGGCCGCCAGGCAGGGGCGGGGTCGCCTCTGGCAGCTGGGGCGGAGGGGAACGCTGCATTGTGACATGCGGGGACGAGCCCCTCTCGCCGGCGTTAGGGGCGGCAGTCATCGCATAAAGACGTCCTCGGGCCAGCTGGTGGAAATGATTACCAAGCACGCGAAATATTCCAAAGGGTTTTCGCGAGGAAATACAAAGTACACAAGCAATTCAAACGCAACTTCGCCCTGAAATTCAAATTACAACAACATTTCGAACTTACATTCGAATCCCAACTCAAAGTACCATTCAAATTAAGTGGGAAATTCCAATCGGATTTACATTGAACAATAACTTTAAATTAATGAAGAAATGCAAATCCAATAAGAGAAATCCACATGAGCCCGCATTTCAAGGTTAAGGCCGGGCAGCAGAGAATACGAACCACAAGAAATGAAATCAAACAACACAAAGTCCCTACATACTTCGATACACATCAAAGCGAACGCTGCCCCTCCCAGATATCACGGCATCGCGGGACGGCTTCGTCGTTGGATCTGATCCCCTTTACCGTCGCTTGCTTTGCTATTTTCTGGCTCGCTGCGCTGGACGCTCGTTCCGGATCGACTGCCTGGGAGGGGACCTCTGGGTTTTCAATGTCGTTTCTTTCGCGTCCCGGGGGGAGGGCGAGAAAAAGCGACGGACGCGTGCGCAATCGCCTCCCCATCTGAAGTTGGGGCCTCCAGAATCCAGAAGGGCCCCCCCTCACCCACGCGCGCCCTGTCTCAAACAAACCTCTCGTATCCCAAAGAAAAGCGGAGGGCGGCGGAGAGTCGCCACAAGCGTCTCCGATCATCCCGCCAGCCCTCTGGGCGCAGGCGTAAGTGGTTCATCGAATTGTTTTCTGCCCTCTGCCAAAACCCCTCCTTCCCCTGCTCGGGGGAAGGGTTTGCCCCGCCCCTCCCCCGGGCCAAGGGGGGCGACCGATTGATCAAGATGGTTCCAAGAATCAAGAGGGCCTTAGGAAGCTCAAGATGGCCTGCAAGGTGGCCCATGATATTTCAAAATGGGCCAAGATCCCAGTATAGCCCCCGGCATACCTCCAAGAAGAGGCTTCAAGACATACCCAGAAACGGATTCTAGGGCCCGTCACCTTCATTGTTCGCTTCTCCGTCGTCCGCGCCGTCGCTGTCGGGACGTCCCCTCTAGGGCGGTGGACTCCTGCCCCCCGCGGTCCCTCGGAGTCGTCGCCCGCGTGGGCGGGGGCGGGGAGAGCGCTTGGGAAAGGGGGGCTCAGAGGGCTCAGGATGACTCCAGAATGCCCAACGAGGCCTCGGACCCCTGGGGCGCCGCTCCGGGCAGCTCCGGACCAACCGAGCCCTCACCAGAAATCACCATCAGAAATCAAACAATAATTCCAACACAAATTCCAAACTAATTCCAAATTTCAAGAACAATTTCAAAAATAATTCAAAAGTAATTCCAAAATGATTACAAAATAATTCCAAACGAAATTCAAAACTCAATGCAATTCAAAAAACATTGGAAAAATATAGAAAAACTCCAAATCGCCAACAACAAATAAAGAACAACTCAAACGGAAATTCAACATGACATTCAAAATGCCAGGAAAATCCCAACGGAGATTCCAACATGATTTCCAACTGCTCGCAAAACTCACTTGTAGATTAATCAACGATTCTTCAAACAACTCAACAACATCTCCATGTCTCTGGGGCTCCCCCGGGGCCTTCCGCCTGCCCATCCCGCACCAAGGGTTCTTATGAAGCCCGCGGCAGACCATCCGCAAATTCTGATGGGCCCTGGGATGAGCTCCCAGAGGGCTTTTCTCTACTCTTCCCACGGCAAGGCCCACGCCGGGGGCGCCACAATGTGCGACGCGCGTTACGTAGGGGGCCAAGAGGGCGCAAAGAGGGGCCTATGAGCCCAAGACCCAAGAGCCCACGCACAACACACAGAAACACAGACACACAAACACGCGCGCGCACACACACACACACCACCACCGCCACCGCCACCACCACCACCACCACCACCACAAACACACACACACACACACACACACACACACACACACACACACACACGCGCACACACACAGCCGTCAAGAAGGCCGCACGAGGACGTCGTGTCTCTGGGCGCCCCTTGGGGCCCTTTCGAAGCCCTTTCGGAGCCTTCTTGAAGCCCACTTAGGTCTCTTCGATTCTCGGGCTTTGAAGGCCCACCAGAGCCCAGAAGAGCCGCATGGGGGCAAGGACGCTAGTCACTAGTCACATGCCATACGACGAGCGCCCATAGTGCGTAGTGTCATACTCACGCCGTGCCCCTCACGCGGCTCGTGGCCCCATCAAGCCATTGGGGACTCCATCGAAGGCTCCAATGCTGGTGGCCGCATGACCTCTCGCCTTTGCTTTCGTCAGACCCCTCGCACGTTTCGCTGCCGCATAGAACATAGAACTAAACCGGAGGTTCAATTGGCGGTAACCGCATGAAGTCGCACCATTCACTTCGGCACAACCCTCACATCTCAATATCGGCGCGTCCCTCGCACGCATCGCGGCTCCATAATAACGGTTTGGCGGAAAAGCCGACGGCCAGGAGGGTGATCCGCTCAGTGGGGGGGATTGTACCGCGTCCATGTGTGTATATACGCGCAAAACGTGTTGTGAGTATATTTCAAGAAATGGAACAAGTGTATCAATATTGTCATACGGCCATATATGTATACAAACATAACTAGAGCGCATCAACTGGACAACTTCTTCTTCGCCTGCCATCCGCACGGTCCAAATCACATCACTCGCTTCCGACATTCCTGCTATTAGTTTTTGTAGATTTGGTTTGAATTGGTTGCCGGATTCTGAAATTGTTTGGTATTTTGATTTGTAATTATTTGAATGTGTAAATGTTCGTCGGAATTATGCTTGAATTTATCCGGAATTTCGAGGGTGACCACGTTATGCGTAATGGCCGCCCCTAACGCTGGCGTTCGCCTTCAGGCCGGCGCCTGTCCACGCTCGCTGGCGCGCCCGCGCCAGTCGCCGCGAGGCTATCGTCCTGCGGGCCACACCGGGCGCAGGCACGTTGTCAGACACCGCTTCGTTCGGGGCGGATGCCGCCTTCCCCGGCGAGGCCCGGGTTTTGAGAGGGAGGGGCGGCGGTTCGCTGTCCGCTCGGGCGGAATCGCTGCCAATGGAATGAGGGCGAATGGGCGCGAAGGGGCTTTTGCCGACAAGCTGGCGGATGGCCTCGTCGTCCCGTCTCTGCCAGGCGGGTCCGTTGTTCCCCCGCGAGGAGGCTTCGAGCGCACCGGGGGCGGCGGCGGGCGGAGTCGCAGCAAGGCGTCGCTGGGTCTCGCCCTCAACCAGGTGCGACAACGTCCCCTGACTCTCCAGGTAGCAGGCTCCATGTCTGCCGTCGGCCACGGGGGAAGCCTCGGAGGCGCCGGCCGGAGCGTCTGCGCCGACCGCGAAGGGCCGCCCGTCTGTGGCCCGCGCGCCCATCCAGGAGTCAAGCGAGCCCTCCAGTCGCGGGTGCCCTGGGTTCCGGTCAGTCGCACCTGCGTCCACGCACCCGTCGCGAGAACTGTGGCAGCTGACAGCCGCTCCTGGATTTACGGCACCCTGGCTCTCTTTTATGTGTGGTGGGACTCCGTTTTCGGGCACTCACTCTGCCGCCTTCCGAACTGCCGCCGCGATGCCGTCGTCAGGGGTGGGCGCCGTTCCAGGCGCACCTTCGGCCTCCACCAAAACTCCGACCCAGGGGCGCTGATGGGGGTGAGGAGCTGTAGGAGTGTCCGTTTCAGCCTGTGGCTCGCTCGAAGGACTGCTGCGGCTGAAATTTTCTTGTTCCGACATGACCTCCTGGCTGCCTTCTGGCCCAACGTGCCCAGCTCCTCCTTGTGAGTCCGACGTCGCAACCGCTCGGGGCTCGGCTTCTCTCCTAGAGGTCTGCTGGCCGCCAAGGGGGCCCGCGAGGGCGTGGCGACCCGGGCGCGGGGAAGCAGGGGCGCCTCGTTCGCCAACGGACGCGGGGCTGCAAGGGTGCAAGGGAACCTCCTCCGGACAGCCGGAGTCACGTGGATGGCTTGGGCACTGGGACGCCAGAGTGCCTTGACCTCTCGCGGGCCCGTCGTCGCCAGGGTTACGGCTGATGGCTGTCGACTCTGGTTGCCCCAGATGGATGCCAGGGTCAAGGGCGATGGCCGTCTGAACGCACTGCGTCGTTACAACCGTTCCCGTCCCTTCTGGCCTGGCGGGCCCTGCGTCTTCTTGCGAGGTCTGCTGGCCGCCAGGGGTGCCCAGGGGCGTCAGAGAGCAAGGGTACCTCCCTCTGACAGTCAGAGTTGTGAGGAGTTCCGTCCCCTTCTGGCCTGACGGACCCTGCGTCTCCTTGCGAGGTCTGCTGGCCGCCAGGGGTGCCCGGAAGGGCGTCAGAGAGCAAGGGTGCATCCTTCTGACAGTCGACAGAACTGTGAGGATCACGGCTGACGGCCGTCTGGTCGCTTTGCATCAGGGGGGTGCCAGGATCACGGCAGGCGGCCACCTGCACGCTTGGAGAGGTCTGCTGGCCGCCAGGGGTGCCCGAGAGGGCGTCAGGACCCGAATGCGGGGGTGCAAGGGCACCTTGTCTGCAGACGGGCACCGGGCAGCCAGGGCGCAAGGGTGCCTCTCTCTCTGCTGCTGCTGCTGCTGCTGCTGCTGCTGCTGCTGCTGCTGCTGCTGCTGCTGCTGCTGCTGCTGCTGCAAGCTGCTGCTGCGCTGCTGCTGCTGCTGCTGCTGCTGCTGCTGCTGCTGCTGCTGCTGCTGCAGC